GCTTCAATCTAGCTGAAGCTAGATAAAATTTTCATGTATTTCTGTGCAGCTAGCTGAAGCTAGATAAATGTACCTTTTAATCTAGATGCAGCGCCCGCTTCATGATTTTTTTTCGTGCTTGGGTGGTGACGTCCTCTTCATCGAGATCGGCAACATATTTATATTCACATAATCAATATCAGAATCGCTGTCATCGATTAGTTCACCAGCTATTAGGCTTCGTTTTTCATCCATTGACAGACAGTTGAATTCGTCAGATATATTATTGTCATCTGATTCATCTTTGTTGAAAGTTGATGTTTGTAATCGTTTCAGCTTAAGGTTTTGTTCTGTTCTCTTTGTTAATATTTCGTTTTTATGAGTTGACCAATGTGCACGATTCTTCTTCTTAGTGGTTTCTTTTTTTCTGTACAGAAGTTGTCTTGGATCTCATCTGAATATTCAATAGCAAAAAACCATTATCAACATATTTTTTAAGTATAATAATTTAAATCAAACTTCGGTTTGAAAAATAGATAAAAAAACGCGGTTTCTGGTATCGCGGTTTCCGAAACGTCACCTCGGTGTTATTCGAAATTTTTTCTGTGAAAAGAGTCTCAAAACCAGATTTATTTTTACAATATAAAATATTTTTTCATAGTCTGCATCTAATGCAGTTCGAATTTCACTTTATTCTAATTTTATCTTCTGTTCGAAAAAATAAACATATACATCTATATATATATTATATAGAGTTAAGACAAGTAAATAAAGAAGAAAATAATGAACAAAAATAGCGTATAAACAACGGCTGTTCTTTTTTTTCATCAGGTTATTTGGACTGTTTCTTTCCTGCACTTGATTAAAACCTATGGCTATTCTCGTCTTCAATAGCATCATCTGTCTGCTCAACATCATAAGAATCTTTTTCATCACCATCATGTGCATCGCCTTGTTGTTGCTGCTTTTTCTGTGCCACGTTGATTTCGAAGACATCGGACAAGACTTGCATGAATTTTTTCGGATTAACTTCGACTGGGCTATAATACCGTTCCATAAAATCTAGATATATAACAAAGACATACTATATAGTAAGGCTCAGCAGGAAAAATATTTTTGTCATACCAATCAGCATTTTTTCTATTAACAAAACCTCGATCGGCAATTTGTTCCAGTGATCAACCTGTCTCCGATCTACTGGTACAATTTCCTTGAATAATTCTCGAGCAATGCTCGTAATTCCACCTTTTCCATTCAACACTTCATTGATTTGTGCGAGACTTAACCCTAGACATTTGGCATCGGCTCCCAGATTTCCATTGTACTAGTATGCTGTTGTCTGTTGTCGAACTTTGTCGGCAAAGAATAAGATATAATCTCGAGCAGCTTCATCAGTAGACATTCTTGAAGAAAAAAACTCACGTAAATCTTAAGGAATGAATAACTAAGACACTCACCAATGGAAGTTGATTTCAACGTTTAATTTCAGCATCTCGTTCCTTAATCAGTTGGGCTTGCTGATTTACTTTCGCGGATAACTGACTGATTTTTTTCATATAAAAATCATTCTCATTATCTTCCATGATCGTGGATGATGCATCAATTGTATGATCGAATGTTGTTTTTGTTTTCTCTTATCGAATCGGCTTCATTGTCGCTTGTGATAATGAATTGTCGAGCTCAATCGATATAACTGTATCATGACTATTATTGTCGAGCTCATGTTGAGCAGTTGGCAACAGTTTTGCTGTTGCTGGTTGTTCATCCGATCGTATCATTTTCGTTTTTTTGTGTTGGTGCTGAGTTTTCATTTGATTTTTTCAAAACAACTTTTTTCGACGATTTATCGCCGGTACTGGTTTGTGGTGTGAATGTTAATAGAACGGACGAATTCGTCAAATCACACAAATTATTACGACTTTCGACATTTTGTTGTCGTTTTTTCTTTTCAGTTAATTGGTTCTTAACACTCATACAATTATTACGATCAGGATCTATGGAATAAAAAACGAACGAACATTCAATTTGAAAAGATCGGTGGAATAGATACCATGCACTTACGCATATAAATGATAACCTTCGATATTATTTCGATTTTCACTGCCGAGTGACTTGTCGAGTGAAACAAACTGATTTGTGGATCAGTATGCACAAGACTCTTAATCGTAACCTTGAGTTATAGCAAATATAATAATACTTTATCATTTTGTATTTTTCGCTCTTTTGGAAAACAAGATAATCCAAAAGGAATAGCAATGGAAATATTAACATTTGTAGAGAAGTCAAGTCCATCCACAATTCTTCTGTAATTAAAAATAGAGGTGCTATATGATTGAAACATTTTTGAGTCATATGATAAAACCTAGTTGATCTTTAGTGATACTTTTAACATTCTAGTAATGAATGGATTGAAAGGTCGCATAAACCAACGGTTTAAGGTAACTGATTTACC